TTGATTTGGATACTCTTAGCATAATAATAATAATAATAATTATCCTTGCCTTTGATATATTAATATCCCCAGAAAGCGATCTGCCAATCGACTAACAACAGGGTTCATGCTTACTGCTAGATAAACAGCATAGTGACGGGATTCCATCTCGTCTAATTCACCTAACCAGTCAGATCTGATGGATATTTTGGGGTACATTCATTATTTTTATGCTGGGATAGTTTGAAAGACAGAATTACAATTTCAAGAAAAAGTAATTAGATGCTGCTTCCAAATTAATCTTCCCTACATTCCTTGTGTGGGTTTAAAAGCTCTTTTTGGCAGCGAATTGCAATTGAATTATAAAGGAATCTATTTTCAGCTCTCTTGCTTGATAATTACCACCAACAGTAAGTTGCACCACAAATCTCCAAACACATTCTCAATCATTATTTCAATCAGCTGAACTACCATAATAATAATAATTCTTGCATTTGATATAACTCCTTACCACATCTTCTAGACATCTCAAAGCACTTCACAGAATATACTGTAAATTGAATTGACTATGTTTTGTGGGCAAAACGCAGCAGCCAATTGCGCACGGCAGTGTCCCACAAACAGATTAAGTGAATAAATTTTTTTAAACTAATTATTACCAATGGAAAAGCAATCTGCCAATCGACTAACATCCGGGTACCTTACTTCCTGCTAGGTAAACAGAGTCGTGTGGAGTAAGGAAACTTGTCCAACATTTCGACCTGCCGGGAATCAAACCCAGGTCCTCAGGTTTAGAGAGAACTAACCAGAAATTAGGTCCTTATCCTTTTAAAACTACTGTGCAGCAATACTGAAGGTTTACAATTGTAGAAAATGTAATCTTTACCAGAGAAAGGCAGGACATTAGACTCCACTGAGGAGGAGGGCAAATTAAGTTCAGTTGTGAAAATGGACTCCAAGCTTGGAAACAATTTAATCTCATCAAATACCCAAAAGGATAGGACAGAGATTTCTAAGAAGATAAATCTAATTTCTCCCAATAAAAGAATACTTCTGGGTCATTGGGTCATACTGGGTCATTGGTCATCATACTGATGTCATTTCCTGCACACTTTTGTGCATTTGCAGTGTGCAGAAAGCCACTTTGGCAGCAAACCCAATGTCCCAGACACCATCATTTTCTCAGCCCCATGTGTCATCCATATAACAGGGCTCTGTTTAGTTCTGAAAAAATCTAAATAAGAACTTCATATTCAGAGATTTTAAATTTGGTTTCAATTTAGATCCTCACTAAGGGATCCAAGCACATCTCCAGAATGAATTTAAAACACAACTTATGCTTTTTTTTCTGAACCCTGTAGATGTGCCTCACAATAACTTGCCTTTACAATAGTGCCCTTGATATAGGATAACTACTCGGATTGCTACCTCAAAGACTGTATTTTACCTTAATGAAACTGCTCAATAACGTAGTTTCTTCTATAAGAGGACTGGCACAGATGGACGCAGTAACCCTGAAACATTCCTTGAAACTGTGAAACGTTCACATTTTAGTTTTTGTGCCATATAGTTACAGTGTCCATTTGACATGTACCACAGTATAGTAGTACTTCTACTATATTTCTATTAAATTCATGAGAACAACAATTTAGAAATTTTGGGGCTACAATTAAAATGAATGCAAAATTAATTGGAATAAAATCTGCAATTAAATACTATTCCAAATGTATTTCTGTTTTTCTGCATTTTAAAAAAAAGTTGGTACAATATTTCTCAGTCTATATATATTAGGCTACAGCTGTAGCAAACAATTCCTCTAAGTATCAAGCTACAACTTACAGTGAATTTATACCTTGTCTGAACACAGGTTTTGGCCCTTAATTCCATGTCATATTGTGCTAATGATATCCTTTCAGTGCTTAACTACAATAGCATTGTTAACACAAGACAGAAGAATCTTGACACTATTCTTATAATCCAGAATGTAGTGCTCCTATATGCATCACTATGCCACAAGCAGCCTTGCATTTCACAAGACTTGATTCCACTGAAATCTAGCAATTGGATTTTAAATTTAAATTCTTCCAGGTAATAAAATAATACTCCTATATTTTACAGTGTACACTATGGAAGGATGAGATCAAATTGGCTGAAGTTTTCTTCATTCAAACCTTTCTCGTGAACAATCCACCTGATTTTAAACCAGAATCGAATGGGTGAAAAAGTCAGGGTATTAGCCCTCTGCACCATTTTTACAACAGGAGATCAATTTCCTACTGGAATCTAAAATCTTGTGACTTGCAGCATGCTGGTATCAGGAAGAGACTGAACACAAGCTCAGTGAGCCATTACAACATCTATACATTACAACAGATACTCAGGGTATAACACATAGTAAATTATTGATCACCCTTTCATCCCTTCCTCTGAGAAAATAGTTATCTGTCAGACATTAATGTATGGTTTCCTCTCCATCGCCAAGACCGACTGAAATAGATTCAAACGGGTCACTGCTGACTCATCTAGCCCCTGAGTACATTTTGACCTCATCAACAACCATGAATAATCAATATGGAAATGCACAGTTCATTACCGCCTAAAGCAATCTCAGGCTTTTTGCCAACTGTTCTCACATTCGCTAGTTTGACTTCAGTTCCTGTAAGTCAGAGATGTCAAACATTTAGCCTTCAGGGTCGGCTGAGCAGATAAGTATGAATCACCGGGGCATAGGAGGCTGGTTTCATGTAAAGCAAAGCTTATATCACTTCTTGTAAAAATCTCTACTGCTAATGTGTTTCTTGTAAAATGGACGCTGCCGATATAATTTCCTGCCTGTTGTGCGAAGCAAAGCCACGATTTGTTCGAGCAAACCTGAACTTGGCCACTGTGACACAATCCTGAAATCAGGCCACAGGCGAGACAAAATTGAGTCGAAAGCCACATGCAACTGTCAGTAATTGGATAAGCTAGATGGACCAATGGTCAATTCCTGCTTGAAACTGTTATCTATCTTGCCTTCTGTGTCCTCCGACATTTATCTGCCCTTACAGGTCTGCATGACCCTCAACATTAGAAATTAGAAACTCTTTGTTGGTATTTGCTACTGAAATCTCATCGTCACAGGTGCACAGTGAGAAGGAGACTCTTGAAAAGCAGGTAAAACTGATCAGTGTATTTAGACTTGTCACTCATTGTTTTTATTTATCCCTTAATTATCCAGCACAAGAAACAGGCAAATACTACAAAGCACAATTCAGATCTAGTTGCTGAATAAATACTACTACATTTCTGACACTGTACAAAAGCTGAAAATGTACGGCACTGTTTGCACTCTTCAAGTGCACTTCATCTAAAGAGAACATATTTCTCCAGTAAATGCAGCAATGAAAAACATCACTTAATCTTACAAAAAGAGATTCCAACCAGGTCTTTTCTACACACCTCAAAAATCCAATTTGGGTCTTAAATTTTATTTCATTTTCATGCATTGGGTTTTGTCACGTCTAAAGTAAAACAAAATGAGTATAATATTTTGTTCATCCCATTCTCACAATATACATACTGAACTATTCACAAGTGTTGTGTTCCTTCGGCTTCAGAATCAAAGTATTTAAAGGTTTTCAGGAAATTGCAGGAGAAAGGGATTAGAGTGGATGACTCTCGTGAGAAAACCAGCACAGACGCACAATGCCCTGCTTTTCCACTGTAAACTTTATATGATTCTATGAATATCATTTGTGGTTCATTCGCTGCACTTGAAAATACACTGCCTTATTGAGATGAATATTGTAGTTAAACATTGAATCGAAGATAGCCTGGACATCACAAAGCATAATGAGAAATTTTACATCGTGCTCTGGAGCATTCTGTCTCAGGGACAATAGAGAAAGCTTTCCGATGCTGCTCAGGCATGTATATTTACCTTCTGGAGATTACCATTTGGAAGAAAACTGCAGAATTTTGTTAATTTTGTAAACGGGAGGACGAGTGGAAAGACACTAACCTGGGTTTTAAAATGACTATCAGAAAAAATACAGAAAGAAACTTCCTTCTTAATTTGTTCCCTGACTGCTCTACTAATTGCCCTTCATTAGATTTCATCAGCAGGTTCCACATAAATTACAATGCAGTTAATTTTATGACAGTGTGGTTTTAGTGCTGGGTTGTGAAGGATATCTCAGAGTGCTCTGTGCCAGGCTGTTTCAACCATTGCTCGACTATGCAAATCCTTGCTTGTCGGCCTTCCCAACTCTTCCCTCCACAAGCTGCAGATCATCCAGAACTCTGCAGCCCGTGTATTCTCCCGCACCAGGCTCCAAGACCGTATCACACCCACCTTCGCCCGGCTCCAATGGCTCCCCATCCCCCAGAGGATAGAGTTCAAAATACTCGTCCTCGCTTTCAAGGCCCTTCACGGCATTGCCCGCTCCTACCTCTGTGACTTGCTAACCCCATATCAACCTGTTTGTTTCCTCCGCTCAGCAGTGTCTAAACTGCTCCACATCTCCCGCCCCGGCCGCCCCACCCCACCATCGGCAGTCGGGCCTTCAGCTTCTCTGCTTTGGAACCGCATCCCACAGTTCCTTTGTCTTGTTCCCTCCCTTGCCTCCTTCAAGGCACATTTTAGGATCCTCCTTCTCGGTCACCCTCCTCCCACTACCCTCCCTGCCCTCCACCCCCTGGATCCCAACCCTCTGCTCGGGTCCAAATCCCTGATTGTCCAGCACCATGGGATGTCTTCCCAACATGAAAGGCACTATACAAATGTAATTGGTTGTTGCTCAGCAGATGCCACCGTTGCCAAGATAGGAGATGCTGTCTGCAGGAGCCAGGATCTCCTTTTCATTCCACTTCTAGGGAGGTTAGAGGATTCTTTCCACTACTAGTCACATGTAGCACCCAAGGTCATCTGACTATCATTGTTAAAATATAAATATATATTTATTGGTAACAAAGAAACTTTTTTTTATTAAACTCTAAATTTATAACAACAACCTCCATTCAAATAGCGCCCTTCGTGGAGTCCTGTAGCTCAGTGGTTAGAGCACTCGCCTCCCAAGTAAGAGACCTGGGTTCGATTCCCGGCAGGGTGAAACCTTGGGCAAGTTTCCTTATTCCACACGCCTGCTAATAATCCCTCAAGAAAAAATAAACAAATATAAATAAAAATAATGATTTGGTCGCTCAATCCACGACTGTTTGTGGGACTCTGCTGTGTGCAATTGACTCCTGCTTTTCACCCGCAAATGTACAGACAATTCACTTTACAGTGTATTCCATGAAGCTCTTTGAGACATCTCGAAGGCATGAAAAGGGCTATATCAACTGCAAGAATTATAATTTATTATATAGGATAATATCTCAAAGTGCTTTACAAAAACAGAGTCGGGAATGGCAGAGAGACGGAGGAGGAGGCGACCAAAGTTGAAGAGGTAGATTTTAAAATGAGATTTAGTGGATGAGTTGGAGAGGTAGAGGGAAGGAGTGAGAAAGAGAGGGAGGGAGGGGCAGGATACGCAGTATCTGAAGGTGGGGTTGAGAGGGGGCGGGATACACAGCAATCCAAGCTGAATGAGCAGAGGGGGTGAGCAGAGGAGTAGGGTAGGATACGAGGAAGATAGAAAGGTACTGGGGTGTGGAAGTATTTAATAATAATAATAATCCTTGCATTTACTATAGCACCTTATCATGACCTCAGACATTTCAAAGCGCTTCACAGAATATACCGTAAAGTGAATTGACTGTATATTTTGGGGGCGAAAAGGGAAAGCCAATTGTGCACAGCAGTGTCCCACAAACAGTTGTGGATTGAGTAATGAAATTATTATTATTACTATTATTAGTTTGAAGGAATTTTCCCCGGAAAAATTATCCCCCAATCGACTAACACCGGGTTCCCACTTACTTAAGCTAGATAAACAGAGATGTGTGGAGTAAGGAAACTTGCCCAACATAAGAGGTGATACTGTAAAAAAGTTATCGCTGTACCTTTTTTAAACAAAAACATAGGGTGCCTGATTATCAGAATTCACAACCGGATATGTGAAACAGTGCAGCCTGCAGGTTCTCAGGTATATTTGCAGCTGAACCCTCTGATACTCCACTCAGAAACAAGGTCTACAAGGCTGGGAGCTTCCTTTGTCCAAATCTAGCTTCACAAAAAGTAGAACATGAGATTGGCGTTCAAATGAGGTTCTGAAATTTCGGCTCAGGCACTTCCAGTTGTCCACTGGATTCACTGCTTAAAAATCATCTTGCAAAGATTGAAAATAAGACTCCAAGCATTGCAGAAACACACATGATGCCACTGTGTGGCTATAGTGAGTATCACATCTCTACATTTAAAAATCACTGATTATTTAAATTAAATGGAGTCCTGTAGCTCTGTCGTTAGAGCACTCGCCTCGCAAGCGAGAGGACCAGGGTTTAATTTGCCAGGTTTCCTTACTCCACACGCCTCTGCTTACCTAGTGGTAAGTAGGAGCCCCATCGATTGGCGGATCACTTTATCCCAGGGGCAATAGCCCCTTCAAAAAAAATAATAATTTGGTCACTCAGTCCTCAGCTGTTTGTGGGACACTGCTGTGCGCAATTGGTTGCCACGTTTCGCCCACAAAATATACAGTCAATTCACTTTACAGTATATTCTGTGAAATGCTTTGAGATGTCTCAAAGACGTGATCAGGCGCTATATCAAACACAAGGATTATTATAAATGCTTGGAAAGAAAATGTTGGAAAGAAATGAAAATTCTATGATTTGCCTCACAAAATGTTATGTATACATAGATATGTATATAAACATTAGATTTGGTGTCAACACAGATTATTTGCAACTTGCCCATTGTGTCCGTGTTGGGCTTTTTGAAAGAGCAATCAAGCTGACCCATTTGCCAGCCTTTTCCTCAGATCCCACAAAAAATCTTAAATTGATTTAAATTGATCCCTAACCTTAAATTGATGTTCACCGGTTACTGACTAAAACCAGTAGAAATAATTTCACGATGTTTCTCTAATCAGAACCTCTCCTAATTTTAAAGTCTTCCCTCAATCTTCTTTGTTCCAATGAAATTAGGCTCAGTTCCTCTAGTCTCTATTCATAGTTCAAAGCTAGTCTTCCCTGGTACCCTCCTAGTAAATCCCTTCTGCACCCTCTCTATGATCCTGACATCCTTCCTAAAGTGGGTTGACCACAATTGAACAGGTTTAACTCATGATTTATACAGGGTTTCCTTCCGATGTTGTTATTATCTTGGCATAGATGTGTAGTAGACGTGTAATATTTCATGTTCTGTTCAAATATTTTTCCTAATCCAACGACAATTGTGAGTTTATGAACTGAACCCTTGTTTAACGAGCAAACAGATTTCAAAGTACTGCACTTACCTCTGGCATTTCCTCATATGAACGCACAGAAGACAGTCGGTCTGTAAATAAAACCCAAAAGATTACCCAACAGAATGTTCCATTGCATTTTTACTAAGATCAAGGCTGTGCAACAAAACAAAATTGTAAAATACTGTACTTAAATGGAATGTCAAAAATAAAAATGTAGAATAAATGACTGCCATTTTATTCTGGAATTGTAATAATAATTTCTGGAGAAGTCAAATTTGTTTCTCTGCAAATATGAACCTTAAGAAGTTTCGACCATTCCAGTTTTTGGTGCATTAATTTTTACTTCATTTCCATCCCAGTTTCACTTCATTTTAAATTCATCCAACCCAAAGAGGGAGTTGATGAGATTTGCAATTCAAGGATTCTACTACACAACTGAAGAATTAGATATTTTTGTTGTATGTGTAATTATAACACCAACAACAGATTATGTTTGTATAGCAGCTTTCACATCGGAAGTACATCCCAAGACGCTGGACAGTCAGGGATCTGGAACGGAGCTGGGGGTTGGGATTAGGAGGAGTGGAGGACAGGGAGGGTAGGGGTAGGAGGGTGATAGGAGGTCAAAGTGAAACAATTTACCAGCAGGATTGCCACGAATATGTTCCACCTTTTCTTGGAGAAGTACAATTTGCTTTTTCAGCTGTCTGTTCAGCTCCTGTTGGGTTTCATACCTAGTCTTCCATTCACTGCCTAATAAAAAATAGTTTTTTTAAAAATAATCGTTGTGCATATTAAGTACATTTTAAAACAAGGTGCAATTTTAACCCATATAGAGTATTTTAAATGTAAAAACAAACTGTTAAATTAATTGTATATAATCATTTCATGTTGTATTACTCAAAGGATATGTTCATGTTCTCTACAATAGTAGGTAACACTGCAGCCAGGGATAGAGGGTTAGCTAATGCCCACTTATAGCTATCAGGACGTTTGGGTCCTTTAGCTCAGTGGTTAGAGCACTCGCCTCGCAACCAAGACACCTGGGTTTGATTCTCAGTAGGGCAAAACCTTGAGCAAGTTTCGTTGAGACGCCTAGAAGACATGAAAAGCACTTTATCAAATGCAAGGATTATTATTATTGTATATTATTACTCCTAATACCTGATAATCCCTCAAGGAAATAAATAAATAACAATTTGGTCACTCAATCCACGACTGTTTGTGGTTCACTGCTGTGCACAATTGACTGCTGCATTTCACTCACAAATATACAGTCAATTCACTTTACAGTATATTCTGTGAAGCGCTTTGAGACGTCTAGAAGACGTGAACAGCGCTATATCAAATGCAAGGATTATCATTATTATAATTTCAAATCAAGTTACCAAGCAATAGAATACAGGAATTGCTTTTCTTAATAAACAAAAAGAATATGGGTCTAAACTTAAGTATGAATTAAATAACAATGTGGAAAAAGAAAGAACAAGGTTACACAAAAAACAAACAATGCATAACAAAAATATTTTAAACTGTGATTTCAGCCAATTATTATGGACCTTAATAAGTGAATGCATTCTGTTAAAGATGATCAATTTCCCCCATAAAAAAAAGTTATTTGAACTCACAAAAAATGAATGTTTATTACATTAAGGCCTGTTGCCTTCATGTACCTTCATCTTCAACGTGGTCTAATCTCTTTTCCAATTGAGACACTGTCTTGCGTAGTTCCAAAGCAGACTGATCAAGGACATCCCTGTGTCACGGGCAAATCATTACAATAAATAATCAGAGATTATAGTATAAAGCAGCAATCAATACATTTTCAGTGAAAAAAAACTTTAATTTTCAGAAGAAAAAAAATTATCCCAATTTATTCTTTTCCTTCTACTTTCACCCATATCTTGCCCATAGTGAGCAATTTACAGGCTAATCAACTGCAGAGGACATCACAGCTGTGATTGATTCAGTCCTCACCCATGGAAGTAAGAATAGGAAGAAGTACTCCATGGGCAGGATGGAATTTGCCAAAGGGAAATCGGAAAGAGGCTTAAGGATGTTAGTTGAGTCACTGCAAGCCAAAGCCCTAAGAGGTAGAACAATCCTAGCTGAACAAACAGTAGGAAAGCTTGTCAGACAGCGATATCAATAGCAAGATATGCAGTTTTCGCTGATTAGACACCAGCAGTATCCCAATGAACACTATGGGGTCCCTTGGTTCTTGCCAAATACTTTCCGGAATTGGGTAAGCAGGATGCATCCCTCCAGGGAGAGAGAGCGCATTCCATTCCAACAATCTATCTCTGGGGTTTCTACATGTATGTGGGATACTCTTAAGCACGGTGATGGGTTTCCACGTATCAGACACCCAGGTGGCTCCAAAAAAAAATGGACTCATCACTCACTAAGTCAAAACAGTATATGTAAGGCAGCAATAAACAAGGCAAATAGAATGCTGGGCTATATTGCTAAATTTAGATTTTAGTTGAATTTAGATCGGCAGACGTTAAAGTCAGGCTGTATAGTATCCTGGTCAAACTGCACCTAGAATACCGCATACAGTTCTGGCCACCATAACACAAGGCAGCCATTGAGGTGCTACTGTGGGGACAGTACAGGCGAGCAACGAGGATGATTCCCAGTGTTAGCTTTGAGCAACAATTAGACAAATTAGGCCTCTTCAG